TTGACATTTTTCCTATATTAAGCATCCATTCCATAAATGTGGGATATATATCCCTTTATTGAGATCTTTTAGGTCCTTCATTAGGATTTCACAGTTTTATACATGAAAATCTCTGAAATCTCCTCTTAGAGTTATTTCTTAGAACTTTAAAAATTGTTCAAATGGAATATTTTGTCTTTCCTATTTTCTGATGGATTATTGCTGACATACAATTAATTTTTGTTTATAGTTGATTTCTTTTAATCCCTCCATTGTTGCCAAATCAGTTTATTAGTTATATTTCTTTTTCATTCATTCTTCTGGGGTTTGCAATTTTTAATACCTCCCATTTCCTTTCCTTGTCTTAAGAATGCATACTCCTTTTTTACCACTCTATTATCTTAACATGGAGCTCTGACAAGGACTCCCTCCTTGACCAAAAACTTTTAATGAGAACTCTCTGAGGCCTTGACATTCTGTCCTTGGTCTGCTGAACCCAGTTCAGCAAGAAGACTGCCAAACCAGTTTAACAAGAATCCCCCCAATCCTTAATATCTATAACCAAGTTCCCTGTTGGTAATTTTCTACCCATTGACTTCTTTGACCTGCCTGTTAGCTGTCCTGAGCTGTCCCTATTATTGTATTTAGAACTGAGTTCGTTCTCTCTCTCCTATATGAATAGACTTGAGTCTTGCTGCAATAGTCTCAATCTGGTCTTCCTTGCCTGTTTAACTTGTCCAATGCAATTTTTCTTTTACATTTCCATCTTCAAGGTCACCTCATGATCTGAAAAGCCTACTGCCACTACAGCAAATAAATCTTCATTTTGGGAAGAAGGAAGAAAGAAAAAGCTGGTAGAAGATAAGAAGTGGGGACCTTTCTTTTGGGTCATCTCACTTCAAGCAGCCCTCTCAAGAGGTATCACAGAAAGCACTATACAACACTTTTGCCTCCATCTCAGGGATGGAAACTTAATCACATGAACATATCCATGGGAGTCAGGATATGCAAGGGAGGCAGGATAATCCTTCAGCTGGGCACAGTGCTGCTTCAATTAAAATCTGGATTCTGTTATTAGGGAGAAAAAAGAAAGGTGACATATTGGGTTGCATGTAGCTATGAGTAAACCATATAAGGGTTATTAAAGTTAAGATGAGAGATAACTTATTTTTTCAGCTCTGTTGAGATATAATTGTCACATAACATGATGATTTGATACATGGATATATTGAGAAATGATTTCCACAATAAGGTTAGTTAACACATCCATCACCTCACATAATTACCTTTTGTGTGTGTGTGTGTGTGTGTGTGGTAAGAACATTTAGGATCTACTCTATTAGCAATTTTCAAGTATATAATACAGTATTGTTAACTACTGTCTTTGTGGACTTTACACTCACATTCCCCCCTCCCCCCCAAAAAAACAGGGGATGGGGATGGGGAGAGTGTTAGCTGCTCCAGAATTTCCATATATAGGAGAAGTTACAGAGGAGTCAGAGATGGGACTTAAGGCTTCATTTATATAGTAAGGACATTGTTATTACTTAGATTTTAATCTACAAGTAAATAAAAATAGTAGTTTTCCTTAAGTACTTTTAGCCACACATTGACCTGGAGGAGGGCATGGCAATCCGCTCCAGTGTTCTTGACTAGAGAATCGCATGAACAGAGGAGCTTGGTGGGCTCAGACCTTAGGGTCACAAAGAGTTGCACAGGAAAGAAGCGACTTAGCACGCATGCACGACCATCTTAAAGACTGTTATTATTGTTGTTGCCTGTTATTGTTTTCCTTGCAGTTGTTAAGGTGAAGTCTAGTGAAGATTAATGGGGATACAAGTCTCTATCCACTCCAGTACTCTTGCCTGGAAAATCCCATGGAGGAGGAGCCTGGTAGGCTGTAGTCCATGGGGTCGCAAAGAGTCGGACACGACTGAGCGACTTCACTTTCACTTTTCACTTTCATGCATTGGAGAAGGAAATGGCAACCCACTCGTGTTCTTGCTTGGAGAATGCCAGGGACAGCGGAGCCTGGTGGGCTGCCGTCTATGGGGTCGCACAGAGTAGGACACGACTGACGCGACTTAGCAGTAGCAGCAGCTGCAAGTTTCCATCCCCCGCACCAGCCCTTCATGTGTTAGTCACTCAGTCGTGTGCGACTCTTTGCAACCCCATGGACTGCAGCCCACTAGGCTCCTCTGTCCATGGAATTCTCCAGGCAGGAACACTGGAGTGGGTTGCCATTCCCTTCTGCAGGGGATCTTCCCTACCCAGGAATCGAACTAAGGTTCGATTGCAGGCAGATTCTTGACCATCTGAGCCACTAGAGAGCTAAGGACTATATTCTAACTTCTAACCCTGTTTGCCCCAGTGCTTTCTTGCATCAAAGGCTGTACCACCCTTCCTCAGCGGATTGCCCATTCTAACATTTCTCTGTCAAGTCGTTTCATCCAGGGGTGGACTCCCATTCTGACCTCGCCACACTCCCTGAGTGTTTGTCCCTGCGGCAATCCCCTGCTGTTGTTTAGTCGCTAAGTCGTGACCCACTCTTACGACCGCATGGACTGTATCCTGCCAGACTCCTTTTCTATGAGATTCTCCAGGCAAGAATATTGGAGGTGTAGTAACCTTTGCCTCACTCGAAAAACCCACCGAGGCCTATTTCTCCGGTGTACGGAATGGACACACTTCCAAGATGGCGGCCCGCTCGCAGAAGCAGCATTGGGTGCAGCCATGTTCTCTACCTAACAGCGCCCCCCGGGGAAACTGCACAAAGCCTCTTAACTTCTCCTCGCCCTGCTGAACGCGGCTGTCAAAGTAATTCGGGGCATGCGCAATGCCAACCGTCCGTAAGGGGCAGTGCTAGAGGTCTGACTGGAAGCGGAAGTGCCTCGCGGAGGGTTTTGTTTTTTTTTTTTTGCGGCTTGTGTGGGGAGCTTTTTCACACTTATTTCCGAGAGGTGTCTGTGGTGATTTTGGTTGGTCTTGATTTAGGAGTTCTGTGAGGTCAGTGATGGAAGGCTTGTCCGTGGAGTTAGTGATGATGGTTTTCGGCTTCAGTGGTGGGGGGTCGGGTCTGTGGCGTCTCTTGATTGGTATCAAAGAGTTCAGTGACGGGGTNTTTGCGGCTTGTGTGGGGAGCTTTTTCACACTTATTTCCGAGAGGTGTCTGTGGTGATTTTGGTTGGTCTTGATTAGGAGTTCTGTGAGGTCAGTGATGGAAGGCTTGTCCTTGGAGTTAGTGATGATGGTTTTCGGCTTCAGTGGTGGGGGGTCGGGTCTGTGGCGTCTCTTGATTGGTATCAAAGAGTTCAGTGACGGGGTTCTGGGCAACGATGAGTATCTTTAAGATGAGCGACTGGGATTTTTGGGCCCAGTGATGGAAGTCTGTGGTCATTGGTAGGGCTTGGGGAGTCAGCATGGGGTCTGTCATGAGCTTGTTTTCTAAACATTCACAAGCATTTACCTTATTGCTCACATCTCAGTGTTTGGGGTTTTTTGTCTTTTTGAATTTCAGTTTTTTCTTTGACTCGTGAATTATTCAGAAGGGCATCCTTATTTCAGATAATGCCTCTGGGTGAGGCTCAAGGGTAAAAATTGCTTATGGCCCAGTTCAGGGTCAGTTTCCATAAATGTCATTCATCTTTTACAGAAAAGCAATGTGTGTTCTCTAATAATTATATTGTTTCATAGCGAATTAATTTCCATATTATTTTCTCTGCTTAATTAATTACCGAGACAGGTAAACTCACATTGGAAAGGTTATTTGTCCTGTTGCCCTTCTTTCTGCCAGTTTCTGGTTTGTATATTTGAAACTATTATTAGGAACAGTTATTTGTATTTTTAGTAATAGTTGTACCTAAATAACTCAAAAGATACTATAGCCATTTAAGCACCCACCACTAATTTATCTAAGAGCTCATTTTCCAAAATGCTTTCCAGCATTTAAAAAAAAGCTTTTACAGTTCTGAGGGAAAAATTATATCTAATTGTTCTAATGCGGCCATCTAAATTTCCTTTTCTGTGAATTTGCATGTCCTTTGTCACTTTTTTAAAATCTATTTGGTTGCTAGTTGTTTTTTTGTTTGTTTGTTTTTTTACTATTAGGGATAACCTGTCATCACATATTGAAAAATTTTATATATATATATCTTCATTTTTATTTTTAAGGTGTATCTTAATGTATAATCAAATATTTGTTTTTTCTTTTATAGTTTCTGGGTTTTCTCTCATTTTTAAGTGTATCTTAATGTATAATCATAAATATTTGTTTTTTCTTTTATAGTTTCTGGGTTTTCTCTCATTTTTAAGTTAGATCTCATTTATAAGTTAGATATTTATAAGCAAGATCCCTCCTACTCCACTAGAATATTATACAAATGTATTCTCCTAAAGTTTATTTTAATATTCGCTGAGGTTTTTTTTTTCTTTGAGGTTTTAAAAATGTGTATACTTCAAATACTTGTTCCTGTTGGAAATCAATCTAAAGTATAGTGTGAGATGGGGATCTAGTTTGTTTTGTTCCAGGTGGCTGGCCAGTTACATCAACACCACTTATGCAATGAATGTCTTGTGTACATTCAGTTGAATGTCACATACATAAATCATTAATTAATACATACATAAATCATTGTGTGGTCTGTTGTTTTTGCTTTGATTATGTTGTTTTATATTGTTTTAATATCTAATAGTGCATGGTAATTGCTGATATTTATTGCATACTTCTTGTGTTCCAGGGAGGTATTGAGTACTTTACAAGCACCATCGCATTTAATTTTCATAATTCTATGAGGTAGACACTTTCATTCTTATTTTTGAAACTAAAGCTAAAATAACTTCTTCATTTTCTCATAGCCAAAAAATAGTTGAGCTGCAGTTCACATCTTTAGTACTGTTACTCTGTATCTCATGTTTTTTCCCATATTTTACCATGAATAACTTATCACAGGATTTGTTAAACTTTCTGTCCTCCACAGAGTACGTGTATGTTCAGTTGCATCTGACTTTGTGACCACACAGACTGTAGCCCACCAGGCTCCTCTGTTCGTGGGATTTCCTAGGCAAGAATACTGGAATGGGTTGCCATTTTCTCCAGGGAATTGTCCCGACCCAGGGATTGAACCTGTGTCTCCTGCATTGGCAGGCAGTTTCTTTACCACTGGGCCAACTGGGAAGCCTATACTCCATAGTGCTAGTTCTCAAAATGGGGTTCCTGAAACAGCAATATTAGCATCACCTAATAGAAATGTTAGAAATGCAGATTTGGGGGCCCTGCTATGATCTGAATATTTGTTCCTCCCAAATTCATATGTTAAAATCCAAAACCCAAAATTATGGTGTTAGAAGATGGGACCTTTGGGGAATGATTAGGTCATAAAAGTAGAACCCTGGTGAATGGGATTAGTGCCCATACAAAAGAGACACCAGAACTCCCTACAACAGAGAGCTCCCTAGCCCCTCCCACTATGTGAAGACACAGCTAGAAGGTGCTGGCTTTGAAGCAGGAAGAGTGCCTTCATCAAAACATGATCATGCTGACGCCTTGATCTTGGACTTCCCAGCTTCCAGAACTATGAGCAGTAACTTTTTGTTGTTTATAAGCTACCCAATTGGTGGTATTTTGTTAGAACAACCTGAATAATCTGAGATGGGCCCTATCCTAGACCTGCTGAATCAGAAACTGTTAGAGTGTGCAGATTTTTAACTGTATTACTATTTTAACAGATCCTCCAGGTGATTCGTGTGCACACTCAAGTTTGAGAACCACTGTTCTGTGGTGTCTGGCTCAGGAAACTACGCCTTGGAGTTCCCTGGAAATGTTGATGTGATGATTGACCATGTGGACATTATCTTTCCAGGAGCCTCTGGACTAGATCTTCCTCCAGACTTCACCTCACCACTCTTCAGCGGCTCTGCTTGAGTTTATATGTGCACCAAACTTTAGTTTGCTGAGAGAATAAAGGTTGAGACCCAGCATGACCATGCCAGCTAATCGGACCTCTCCCCAGAAATCTCTGGGCCTGGCTCCAGAGGAACGTGGCAGCTCACGTGAGGTGAGGAGGAGGAATCCCAGTGGGTGGAAATTCATTCTGGGAGTAGTTTGATCTTTACAACAAGGTTTTGGATAAAGATCATACCTAAAGTTATTCCCAACCTTGTTTTTGGTATTTGTTTCATTTTTTTAACAACGTAACCTTGATGTCCCAACCAGTCAATGATAGTAAAAGAACTGAAAATTATAAATATAGATTCAGAAGTCAAATGTATTAACTATTCACAGCAAAACAATGCTCAAAAATAATCTGGAAGTGAAAAGTTTAAGTGAAAGTTAGTCACACAGTTGTGTCTGACTCTTTGTGATCCCAAGGACTGTAGCCTGTCTGGCTCCTCTGTCCATGGAATTCTCCAGGCGAGAGTACTGGAGTGGGATGCCATTTCCTTTTCCAGGGAAAAATAATCTAGAGAAATAATTTATCTCAAAGAAATAAAATGTAAATTGCAGATTAAATGGGTATATTTCTAGGAACATATTAACTTTCCCATCAAATCTTTAATTTCCATTTACTATATTTTCCCTTGTAGGTATTATGACTTTTATTTTTAAAATTCTACTTTAAAAATAAATAAATAAAAATAAAAAGTCTAGTTTTAATAAGATTGAGATTGGCCAATGCCAATTTTTCACAGAATGTTTTTATTGCTTTCAGAGAAAACTTTGTTTCTGTGTTACTTGTTCTTTCTTTACTGAGATCTGCCATTTTTTTTTAAACAATTAAATAACAATTTCTTAACCTGTTTTTCCAGAATTTATTTCTTGGACTCTTATATCCCTATTTACTTAATTAAGTTGTTGCTTGTTTTAGTGAATTCCTTGAATTCATGGTGAATGTGTTTAATTGTGTGGCAGCTTATTTCTAGCATGTTCCTTTAAATCTCTTTTTTCTTTCATTCTTTTTGCTTATAATGTCTTTGTACATTAGATTTTTATTGTTATCTTTAAGTAAGGAGATTTTTTCCCCTGGACAGATTGTTTATAAGAAGCTCATTTGGTGTGGAGTCAAAGCCATGGATATGACATCTTCTTGATTCCTTATTTAATTATTGATGGCATAGGGTTCAGGGGCCAGGGTTTTGGTGTGAAGTAGATTGTGAATGTGGAAGTGTATGAAAGAGAAAGATTAGAGCATATATAGTCTTTTCAAGTATATAGGATACATTTTCAGAGAAATGATAATGTTTTAAGCCTCCTAAACAGAATAAATACATTGCAAAGAGGCCATCTAGAATCTTTGAAGACAGTTAAATGAAGAAATAAAAAAGATAGCTTTTAAACATCATAATTTTAGACATTAAAATCTTAAGAGCATCTTTTAAAAAAAATTTTGTATTTATTTATTTTTGACTGTGCTAGGTCTTCATTGCTGCCAGCGGGCTTTCTCTAGTTGTTGTGATGTGTGGCCTTCTCATTGTGGTGGCTTCTCTTGTTGCAGAGCACAGGCCCTAGAGCACACAGGCTTCAGTAGTTGTGGTGCACAAGTTTAGTTGCCACATGGTATGAAAAACCACAAGTTTCTTTAATACTTTCTCTGTCCTGTCCTCCCTACATGCTTATTCCCTCCTCTGAATTCAGTAACCTGCTTTATACATATTAGTACAACTGAATCATCTCCATACTAGCTCTGTATCCATCTGCCTAGTGTCCCTCCTTGTATATCTCAATATGTACAAAATTTATTAATTCTTGTCTTCTTCCCCCAGCCTCCACCTCTAGTCCTTAAATTCATCTGTGACCTTAGAATCTATAGCAACACAAAACTGATAACTGAGAGTTACTTGAGTCCCATTATCTCATCTTCACACTTGGTATCAATTTTATCTCCTTAATAATTAATATCAATCTGTTCTATAGCCTTACTACAGCCTTTCTTTAGGTAAGTAAGAAATTTGTATTCTCCCACCTGAATTCTGCAGTGGTTTTCACGACTTATTTTCCAGTTTTGCTCATTTCAGAATGTTCTCTTATGAGAATAATCTTTCTCCAATATATTTTTTCAACTTTTATTTGTTTTGAAATAATTACAGATTCAAAGAGCATTGCAGAATATAATACAGAGAATTCTTCCATAAATTCCTGTTTATTGTGGTGCATGGTTATTTTTATTCATTGCTGGATCCAGTCTGCCAGTATTTTGTTTAAGATGTTTACATCTAAATTCATAAAAGAGATACTGGTCTGTAGTTTTCTTTTTGGTACTGTCTTTGTCCTATTTTGGTATCAGGGTAATAATACTGACTTCATAAAATTTGTTGGGCTTAATTAGAAGGGCTTCCTCCTCCTTTACTTTCTGAATGGGATTATGTAAAAATGAGACTAACGCTTCTTTAAAAATTTAGTAGAACTCTAGTAAAACTATCTGGGCCTGGAGATTTTTTTTTCAGGAGATTTTAAATTATGATTTTAATTGAATTATCTATGCCATAATGTAAGTTTTGCTAGTTTGTGGTTTTCTTTTTTTCTTTATCACATCAAGGGTTTTATTGCAAAATGGGACCTTTGTTCTTACCTAGTAAATCCATGTCAAAGGATAAGCCAGGATTTAGATACATATGTAAGCCATCTCTTTAAGCATCTCATTCACTTCAAATTAGAACATATATCTGGAATTTACTGTTGCCAAGTCTCAACTGTGCTTATCATGATAGTGGTTAAAACTGGAAGACGTTAAAAAAACCCAAAACCCTGATGTCCTACTATTTATATTCAGTCTTCTTGTTTGGAACAAAAGGTAAAGAATTCACAAACATCACCATCAAAGCATCTGTTTCAAATCAGACATCAGCCTTCAGCTTTTGAAATAATTTCTTTGTGATTAAGCAAATAGCAGCTGAAGATACATGTCAGCTGCTTCTTTCTTCCAAGAGAACCTGGCAGGATGACTGCACCCCAGGAGCTTCTCTGTGTTGAATCGGGGTGGTAGAACAAAAAGAAAAGCAGCCTTTTCCAATCCTAATCATGGAGGTAAAGTGTAGAGAAGAGATATCCACATTTCAATAGGGAAGGTGACCGGATAAAAGAAGTAGGACTACCCCACTCCAGGAGACAATGTAGAAATACTTGCCAAATCCCGAGTTCAGCATTTTGTTTTCTTTTTGAGATGAATATAAAAGCACCTAAATGGCAAGGAAACTGTTCTTCCTGTTGTATCAAATCTCAAGGTCAACGGGACGGGGACACAAGACACTCAGAACTCGGACCGGCCTCGATTGAGACCCGAGACTCAGGCAAAACAGTGGGCACGAACCTCGCACGGGCCAGCAGAAGCACTCCAGCGCCCCAGGGCCGGCCCGCCCCCTGGCCCAAAGGCCAGATAGCCTCAACGAGCCTCACTCCACCATCTTCGCTCCTTCCAATAATATATTTTTTAATATTTATTTTTTATTTTACTTATTTGGCTGCACTGGGATCCTGCTGTGGCACGTGGGATCTTTGATCTTTATTGTGGCATGGGGGCTCTTAGTTGTAGCATGTGGGCTCTAGTTCCCTGACCAGGGATCGAACCCAGCACTCTGCTTTGGGAGCAGGGAGTCTTCACCACTGGACCCACCAGGGAAGTTCCATAATATACTTTTACTTTTTATTAACAGACTTTATTTTTTAGAACAGTTTATACTTAGAGAAAATTGAATAGATAGTACAGAACTCCTGTACACCCAATCTACAGGCTTCCTCTTAACATTTTATATTAGTAAGGTACACTTGTTATAATGAAAGAACCAATGGTTGCTACATTAAGTCTACAATTTATTCAGACTTCTTAGTTTTTACCCAGTGTTCTATATCTGTTCCAGGACACCACATTACATCTAGTTGTCATGTCTCCCTAGGCTCCTCTTGCTTGCGACAGTATCAGACATACCTTGTTTTGATGACATTGACTGGGGGTACTGGTTAGGGATACTCTGTAGGATGCCCCTCTTTTGGAATTTGTCTGATGTTCTTCTCATGATTAGACTAGGGTTATGGGTATTGGAGAGAATTTTTGGGAGAACTGTAAATTTTGGAGTACTCAACTTGATAATCTCTCAGATCTTTGAATAACTTAAAATCTTGGATTCATATTATAATGAGTTAACAGAGTAATTAATCATTGATACAGAGATAATTTCTAGGTATGACAAAATACTAAAATGCTGATTACTAAGCCTAATTAAATGCTTGTGTAGGATTGACATCAACTCCCTCCCCTGTTTTATCTGTGAAATATAAGTTACTTTGGTTAAGATTATAATTTTTTTTTCATTTATTTTTATTAGTTGGAGGCTAATTACTTCACAACATTTCAGTAGGTTTTGTCATACACTGACATGAATCAGCCATGGAGTTACATGTATTCCGATCCCAATCCCCCCCCCCCCCCCCCCCCCCCCCCCCCCCCCCCCCCCCCCCCCCCCCCCCCCCCCCCCCCCCCCCCCCCCCCCCCCCCCC